AAAAAAAAGAGATTCAAAGTGAGTTGGTCTAATTTCCAAAACACACAATAACACAGCAGCAACTCCACCTCCTAATCTGGGAATCTCACTATGACACAGCAGAGCTCCTCTCTATGTCCTAATTCAGGAATCACACTGGAATCAGAGGGCATTTCACAAAAAGAGTAGGGGTATTACAACACACCCTGGGATTTTTAATGACCACAGAGAGTCAAGACCTTGAGGTTTTACATCTCATCCGAAAGACGGCACCTTTTTACAGTATAGTCCTCCTGTCACTATACTGGGGCATTAAGACCCACATGGACCGCACGGCGAGCACCCCCTCCTGTTAGCCCCACTAACACCTCTTCCAGCAGCAACCTTAGTTTTCCCCAGGAGGTCTCCCATCCAGGTACTGACCAGGCTCACACCTGCTGAGTGGGTTCAATGGGTTGCCAGTTGTGAGTTGCAGGGTGATATGCATACTGGCAAAAAGAAAAGAGTAGGGGTGTTAATCCCACTGTCCAGGCCAAATTTCCCACTGGCCTCCTAATAATCCCCATCTCTGAACTGGGTTCATCACTCTGTTCTCCTCCCCACTGAGAGCTGGTGTGTGGTAAGCGGACTGGAGCATCATCCAGGTGGGGCTGCACACTGGTGGTGGTGGAGGGGAGTCCTTTGAGTGGAGTTTTCAGAAAAGCACAATATCAGTGTAAGGAATAACTACTGCTACTACTACTACAACAGAGGCCAAACTTCCTCAAAGTGCTCTTACTGACTTGTCTAAGCCATGACAGTGAAGAAGGATTATAAACACTATAGCATGACTATTCCTTTATGCAGGGGAACTACAGGATTCCAGACACCACAGGACACTTGCAGACAGTCGATTGTTTTAAGGGTTTCCCAAAGCCACTAGAAATTAACAAAAAACTGGCCTTCCAAACTTCTCCAAAACTGACACTGGTTCAGCATTTATTAAATTATTCCCATAATTTACTTCCAGTTTCTTGGTATGCGGAGGTCAGTACTTCACGTTACTGTTCACCTTACACAAAACAATGTGCCATCCTGTTCTCCTCAGAGAATCCTGCTCCAACGGCTCGCTGTTTCACCAGTTCAAGGAATGACTCATCAGATTTAAAGCGCTGATTGGAGGAAATTGGCAAAGATATAAGCAATAACAAAAAATGAAGCAATAAACAAATAACTCATTTAATTATCAGCAACCAAATACATAATGGAAAAGTAATTAGGCATTTTTTAGAAATGATAGAATTCAAATGAAATGTATTGTTTTGCTGATGCATGCTGTCCGCATGTCTGCATACATAGAACCTAAATTCCAAAACTGAGAAAAACGCTGGCCTTAATTTAGACGCTGGCCTTAACTTCAGTTTAGGGGCAGCTCTATTAAGCTTGTTGCATCTTAAAGTAGCCCAAGTAAGAACTGGGAGTGTGTTCACTCTAACTCAGAGATGTTAAGAGCAAATTCAGGGAAAAATAAATACAAAGTACTAAAACCAGGAGCTTTCAGCAGGTTGACAGTATTATGCATGGGCTTTATAGGAAAAAGAACATGACAAAATAAGACTGTTCTGTGCCTGATGGGGAGATTTATAGTCACCCTGATCCTAAGTGAACTGCAAATGTTCAAAAGCTCAAATCAAGCAGGAGACACTGCAGGTGTGAAGAACAGAGAGTCGGATCATTTTAAAACAGTTGAGAGAATTTCTCCAGTCTTTATTTGAAAAGCATCGGCGCAAGGGATCAATTCAGATTCCCCCTTCCACAGAAGTCAGATCCAATTCATTACTAATCTACCAACGTTTGGCTCTGGTACCGACAGTACCGGTGACACAGGGGGACTGGAGTGTGTCTGGACGGATGAAAATGCGTTAGATCGTCTGTCATGCTGTATATACCGGTGCTGTAGTGGCCACTGTTCAGAAAGGAACGCAACTTCAGCAGAGCTACAAATCACTGCATGATTAGAACTATACCTTCACATGTCTGCCTTCGGAAAGGGACCCACAGTAAGAAACTAATTAAAAAGTCCCACTTATGGACTGATGGCCAGCCTTTCAGAAGTTTATTTGCTAGAAGTCCAGAAACAAACATGACCAAAGAGGCTGCCGCATTTTCAAGGGCTTAGGGCAAGGTTAATGACTCTTGTTCAGGGAAAGCAGAACTGTTTCTTCTAAATAAAACCTAGAACACTGTTCCAAGAGTATTCAACACGTTCTACACCTTGGAGGAACAAAAACACATTTTTTAGTCCCAAAAAAGGAGGAGTACATATTCATGACCAACTGCTCTATAATTTAGAAAAAGTTTGAAGGGTGAAATAAAAACACTGGTGTCAAGAATAAAAAAGGAAAGCCAGAAAGAGTGAGAGAGGAGGAGGGGAGAGCAGGATTCCCAACACTCCTCCCTCAGAAACAGTCTATTCATCTATGCCTGGAGTTGCACTGTCCGCGTGTCTGTATACATCTGCACGTGTCCGCGCATGTCTCCCAGTCTCCGTCAGCGTCCCTGTACCCAAAGTGTCTGCCTCCATCTGCGATCGCATGTCCGTCTGCGTCTGAATTCTGCTACGCTGCCCTCTGTGTCCGCTCGTCCTTGCCATCGTGCAGTTCTCAGCGTCCAAGTCTCTGTCCGTCTTCGTCGGTCTGTCCACGTGCAATCGACGCACGCGTCCTCTTCCTCCCCCCTCCAACTCCACGTCCCTGCGGACCTGCCCGGGCCTCTGGGACAAGGCCCCCCCCCGGACACACAGACGGACGTGTCTGCTCTCCTGGGCGTCTCCCTCATTCCTTCTCTCCACTCTCCGTCCGGGACTCCGCCAGGTTGGTGGTCTGCCAAACGAGACGGAGAGAGGTGCCGGTGAGTCTCTACTGTCAGACACAACACTTCCCGGAGTACAGCAGCATTCTGGGATACCTTGGCTTCACTTGATAGGACAGCACCTCTGTATAAACGTGCCAATAAATCCAATATATTAAACAACAGCCACCTCGGCCCCTTACTTTAAGATGCTTCATAAAAAGTGGCAAAAGTACTTGCATATCATAAATGCGGCCTGGGCAAATGGAAGAGGAATCAATTGGTCAATTCCAAATCATGTTCTGGAAGTGGGATTATTCCTGGATGGAAGCGAACAGGAGGAACAGACGGTACGGGATGTGCACCATTAAACTGTCCTCTCGCTGCAACAATTACACAGGTTTTCAGTTCCTAGCATGTCATGGACAGGGACAGTGTTTAAGCATACCTGGAATGTAAGAGTAGATCTCTTGGGAGAACTGTTTACTGTTTACAACGATTCTCGCTCTTCCTCTGCCCCTCGGCTCCCCCCGCCCCTCCCTGCTTCCCTGCCTCACCCACCTTGTCCACCAGCTTCTGCATCTTCTCGATGACGGCGATCATGTGACCGGCGTTCTCCTTCAGGCTCCTCTCGTAGGCGGCGTTGCGCTTCTCGGCGCGCTCCAGCCGCCCGCGCAGATCGCCGGCGGCGGTCTGGGCCGCGGAGAGTTCCGAGGACAGCGCCGCCTGCTCCGCCTCCCGTTTCGCCTCCCGGGCTTCCACCTCCGCTGGGGGAGAGAGAGCGGGAAGCGGGGGGTGGAGTTAGTACAGTACTCCTCCGCGGGCGGGACACTGCAGGGCGCTGGACTGACCGTGAAACGGACCGAAAGGGGCCGCTCGATTCCCTATCCCGGCATGAGGATGTGGAATTAAAAACACATCTTTTCCTGCTCTTACAGACGTTCTCCTGGACTGGGGGTTAAAAATAAAGAAAGCCTGCTCCACAAACAGACTTCTCCTGGGCAGGAGGCACGGCGCCCCAAGATGCCCATGATGCTCATGCATCAGAAATGAACATGGACGGCACAGGAACAGTGCATTTACTAGCCAAGTTTAACACTGGATATCACAGGACACAGAAATAGGTGCGGTACCTAGTCTAGCGACACGGTCTTCCAGCCACACCCGGGTGCGTTCTGCTTTCTCCAGGCTGGCCAGCAGGTTAGCAATGTTGAGCACCGTGCCCCTGTGGGTGACGACATCCGAGCTCCCAGTCCCCGATCGCCGCGACGATCCGCTGGCAGCCTTCCCACCGCTACCTGGCAACAAGGCCCGATTCCCTGGAAACATGCAGACGGGAGGTGGGGGTCAGGGATCAGAGACGCCCCTCTCAGGGAGAGAGTCTTAAAAACTGCAGACGAGGGTTCGACCAGAGCAAACCCCCTGCTCACACTGCGCGCTCCAGACTTCGGACTCTACCCTGTGGTAGCCGGAGCCTACCCGGCAATCAAAGAGCCCAAGGCAGGGTACACCCTGGATGGGACGCCAGTCCATCGCAGGGCAAGTGAAAGCCAATCATACATGGGGACAATTTGGAGGCCACAGTAAAGCGCGAGGGGGGGAATTTGGCCCGGACACCAAGATAACTCCCTACTTTCAAGAAATGGCTGGGGTTCTTTAATAGCCACTGAGAGTCAGGACCTCAAATTAACGTCTCATCCGAAGGATAGGCTGCCATCTGTCCTCCCTTCAATATCCCTGGACCCAGGTCTCACAATGCTGACTTTAAATCTGTGATTTGGTCACATTTTGTAGTCTGACAATAAGATATAAGGTTGTTACTTGGGGCTGCTAAAGAGCTTTAAGCTCATTTTCTGATCTTGCCCTCGAGTCCTGGTCTCTTGTTGGCGCTGTGGCCTCGCAGCTTGTGAACAAACAGTTTGACCTGAAGGGCACGGTGCAGTGGCGCATGTCTTAGGCCAGAGGGCTGTAGCACTGAGCCGACCTGGTTATGAACTGGCAACCCCAAAATTCTACGCATAAACAGAGACCCATAGCTACTTTAAATTTGAAAAGACAAAAATAAAAAAACCTTTAAATAAAATGTGAGAAACAAAAAATCATATGCTGGCACCGTCGAACCTTGCAAGTTGGAATCATCTCCAGGGGGCTCTGGGTCAGAGGGGTCAGTGTCCTCCCAGCGTGCTGCCAGCGTCCTGTACCGACACACCCCCCCCAACACAGCTCTGCTCACCAGCTCCCTCGCCTGGAAGGGAAAGGACAGCACATGGTCAGAGAGGGCAGACGGACACCAGCACACCATGACACACAGAACTCGGTCGCTGAATTGACAAGGAGGACGCCCTGGCGACGGTGCTGGCGATGACCCCGGGCCGTGACCCCTGACCTGTGCACGGGTGAAGTGCAGGCCCAGGGAGTGCAGGATCTCTTCCAGGTCGCGCTCCGCCAGCTGACCACTCAGCTGCTGGTCGAAATACAGGAAGGAGAGGAGCAGAAAGGGGGGCTGCATGGCCTGCCAGCCCGGAGGCCTCTCCTACAGAGAAGGAGACGGAGAGAAAGAGAGGTCACGCACACATGGAACAGTTTCCCACCAGCCCGCATGACAAACAGATGTCAGGATCGGCCAAACGAGAATGGTTTGTTGCGGCTCTACTTGTCCCGGTAAGCTGGTGGCATTGCTTTGATGGTCATTGAACAGAATTCAATAACCATGACGCAGAAGGATCAGGTGCTGCTACTGGCCTGTTTAATTTTATGGAACAAGTAAAGGTTTATTTCTTGCTGAAAAGAAGAAAAGAAAACATTTTGACAGTGGAGCCTTCTTTGGGTGTCAGCCGAAACGCTGTGTTTCTTTTCATCTCTTTTCACCCTGGAATCAACCTTTACTTGTTCCTTTGCAGCCTACGCATGCTGACGCAGCTGCCTACTTGAACTGTGTAATTTTATGCCTGCAGTTAACACCCCTGGCCACTCACACGTTTCTCAACACCCTCGTTCTTACCGCATCTTTGGAGGCAGGCTCTTCAGAATGGTTGGACACAGCTGACTTGGTTTCTGCCTCCTCTACCGTCATCACTGCAGAGACGAGAGAAAAAAATAATTCCAGGGCTCATCATGAGCCCTTCGCCTGCCTGATCAACCCAATCCGTTCAGATTCTCGATTTGAAACTAAACAAAAATGAAAAGGTGCAACTGAAAAATTGAGGCATGAGCCAGAACATGTTCCAGGAAGCAGGATTGTTAGAAGTCTGCGTTTTCGCTGCCCTTAATGACAAGTGTCTGGACAACGTCCAACCACCTGGTCTTAAGGCGTCCAGATCACCTTCGAGGCTGTCTGACAGTCATTCTCTACTGCCTCCCCAAAGTGCCACCAAATCCAGGAGAACTTCCACTTCTGTGACTGCGTGCAGCTGGCTGACACCTCAGTTGAATCCAGAGAGCATTGCTCATAAGGACTCCTTTTCTGACCATGCAGTTTCCCTCATCAAAGATGTCAAGGTGGAAGCTATAGGACCTGCCAGTGGACAGGCACCAACCTTCTTTGGCTACAGCTTTTCAGAGCTGTCTCGGCAATGGGCGCCCTGAAAGTGCTCCGCTCAGACTGTGAGACCTCACTCGGGGTTCTAGAGGAGTTCTTTCAAAGGTAGGAGACAAGATCTTTCTGCACGGGGTCACCTGTCAGATGTTCCCAGGCAATCAGCAGGTGAACCCTGGGCACCCTGCGTCTATCCAGCTGGCTCCTACGCATCAGATCCAGCTCACCACCTAGTGGCGATTAAATTGAAGCCCTGGTCTTGGGTCCAAAGTTGACAAATCAACCTACGACCTGTGGTGCTCAGGTAGCATGATCATGAACAGCCCTGCATTGACTTTCCGTGCTGGGGAAAGCAGCTCAGCCACCCGGAAAGACTCGGAGCAGAGCTACTACTCCTCCGGACTAAAAGGAGTTGTGGATTGTAGCAGAGGATCCATCTTCCAGTAAGGGCACCTCCATCAGAGCTCTACTGTCCCAAGGAAAGCACAGTCCCTGTTTACAGGGCTTGTCTCATCAAGGATGGCCTTGGGAACGTTTGGGAATCTCCCAGGAGAGAGACTGTTGCTGAGGGTAAAGATTGTGCTCCCTACAAGACATGTAACTGCCACGACCCTCCCCAGGACACATGGACTGAAAACGCAGGGATGTGGACAGCAGGTGTGCTCCAACCCGGCTGTGATGGCACCACAATGCGGTCTCCAGCAGGGGGCACTGTCGCAGCGATTCCCACTCACCGCTCTCTGCGGTCTTCTCCTCCCCCTCTTCTGGCTTCTCGTCATCTTCCTCGTCCGTCTTCTCCTCCTCGTCCTCTGTGCTCTCTCGCTCCTTCCCGCCTCTCCTCCGCCGGGTCCTCCTCTCTCCCCCTGCCTTCTTCCCAGACCCGCTCTCTGCTTTGCCCGGCTTCTCCTCCTGCCAGGGAAAGAGGCCAGAGAGTGAGCAGGGAGGGGGGAAGCCAGGAGAGGACAGGAAGGAGAGAAAGAAGACTAGAGGACAAGGCAAAGACAGGGAGGCACAGCAATGGAGGGAGAGCAAGAGTGTCATTTCCCATAGCTCTTAATTCATCTCTAGACAGGGATTACAGAACTCCATCAACTCTTGGGCTATCAGGATGTGGCTGCCGCACAGGCTGCCTGTCAGAGCTCCAGAGTCAGCGAAGATCTGCCGCACCTTCATGGCAACGTCCTCTCTCTCCCGCCCCTCTCCAGCGCCTGGGGGCATGGCGCTCAGCGCGCGGTAAATCTGCAGCCCGAAATCCCGCTGCAGTATCTCGTTGAAGAGCTCTGCCATCAGCCCCACCTGAGAGCAAGGACAGAGGGGTTACAGCGGTCATGGTCCACATCTCACAAGCACTATGGCTCGTTCTGCGCAAGAGTCTTCTAGAGCTGGGAACCTTCTGGCTGAGCAACCTCCCTGTTCCAGGAATGATTCTCCACAGGGACTGCTCCAGAATGCACATCAAATCTCAGCCTGTGACAGCTAGAAATGGGATACCGCTGGACGGAGCTGTATGGGGGCATGATGTACCTCGAAAGCTTCTTCGGAGGTGCTGTTGCGGGGCTCCAGCAGGGCGGCGAGCGGGAGGGGTGTGAGACTCAAGCCCTCACAAGGCCGCAGCACCAAGCCTGGCTCCTCGGGGAGAGGGGTCACAGCTGGCTCAGTCTCACACTGGGGCAGGGGGGGGTAAAGAGAAATAGGTTAACACAGACCCTGACTGGGCAGTGATACACACTCACGCAGTGAGGAAAGAGAGACAGATGGGTTAACACAGACCCTGACTGGGCAGTGT